TAAAATATGAAGGACAAAGTGATTTTCTTTGTAAGCGCTGTGCACAGTCCTCGAAACGAGATCTATGCACTTATGAAATAGATTTGTAGTTGATACTTCCAATAATTCTGAGCTATGCTCCGAACAGACATGTTACAATTTGAAATACCGGCCAAAATGAACCAATGAACGAACATCTGAATATGACATTTCTGTTGCTTTCCCTTTCTCTACCGTCACAATATGTAAACCCCAGCAAAAATGAGCCAAGCAAAGTTCATGCTCTGGAATGCAGGTACCCTGACACATTTTCAACAGAAAGGTCTCCAAACTATGATACAACTACGATTATTGAGGGTACAGAGAAGATGCTCTCGCATATAAGTGAACAAATGTCTTTTCTTTTTACACGACCATGTGACTTGTGTGAGTGCAGTGAAAGCTGTTGTGATAGTGAACCAGCTAGCATTGAAGAGATTGACGAAAGTAAAGAATGTCTTACGCCGCAAGTTAAGAGGAGGTCGCTGCACGAAAACTTGTTTCAACAAAAAATAATTATCTCTTCAGTTGTTTATAACTTGTCAAAAATCAATTCACAACCTTTTGACTTAAGAAAGGTGTATAAACGATACATTTGTTGATAGGCAGTTCATGTTCCCAGTATACGTCGTCCTACAGAAATAAGTTTTGCACTAATGTAACACTAATGGGGTAATAAATGAAAATGATATTGTGTCTTGGGACTCAAGCATTGAATGTAGCAGAAATACTTTCCAGTTTGGAATTCTTTATAATCTTCTTGGGCAGGAAAAAATGTTCTATTCTATTCTATCCGTATAAAGGCTTTGAGGCCGTTCGTTGTAAAACATTAATTGATTAATGTAACATGACTTTTATATGGGATGTATACAACAGCTCTTATTCCGATTCTATGGGCTTTATACTGCATTCTTTATGGAAACTTATTAAAACGTATTTTGTCATTTTTTCAACACATGCTCTGACTGAAATGATGTTGGATTCAAAAAAGTTCAATTCAAGATGTTGCCCTCGCAAATCATTGCAGCATTTGAATTTTCTGAAAACCTCAAAAGCAATGAGCGTTGCTTTTGGGATTCAGTCTTTGATTCAATGCAAGTAAATTTTATTTAGATATTTACACATTTGGAACAATTACACACAAGTTTGTTACTTCAACACAATTAAAAAAACAACGTTACTATCATTTTTAAAATATCATTTAAGACAATCTTATTTTCCAATTAATTTTCTTCTTGAAAATAAAATACATATTAAAAGTTAAGCTACTGTGACAAATATTAATAAAGTGTAGTTTAAATTTTTCAGATCAACTTTCTAATTTAAACAAGAAATATCGTTTTGAAAAAATACTATACTATTAGTATGTTACTGTCATGTGATTGAAATCGTTTGAAGTTGCGTTTGTTGCCGAGTGGTTTTGGACGTTGATCTGACATCACATCTCACTCACTGTTGCGGGTTCGAATTCCGAAAGGACTTTGGAAGCTTTCTTGTGAGTAGGCTTTCGACCTGGCTCTACTCAGGTATCCGATCGTCCCTTAAATAATGCACGGAAGAGAACATGAGGCTTTCCTTGACCTATAAAGCTGGAAAGTCGCCATGTGACCTAGTGTTTATTGATGCGATTTTTTTATTGAACTATTGTCTAATTTCGGGCTTATTCTGTATGCATACATGTTTAATATAGGGTATCTCCAGATAGCGTGCTTGAGTTGCAATAAAAAGAGACTATTTTAAATGTTTGTAAGAATATGATATGACTTTATCTTTGCCGCAACTTTAGGGGATTGTCAACATATTTATCATCGAAACGGTACCAACACTTCATGCCAAAAAGTACAATATGTACAGTTATATTTGAGTAATATAAGGCTTAAGTATATTTTAGATGATATTTCTTTTTCGGTAAAATTAGGTTTATATATCAAGAAATTTCACGGTTTACTAGGATGGGTAATTGATTATGTCTGTTTAAAAAGATAAGCACCGATAAATGTACACGGGGCATGTTTTTGTCAAAAACGAAAAAAGAAATCAAGAAGAATCCTCATTAATAAACACTATATTTAGATAATAAACGATTAAAAGAGGAGTGTCGATAAAGGTACATTGAACATGTAAACGACCAATGAGTCTTCAAAAATATCACTACATTTAATAATCAACACATTGAATGATAAGCACATTAAAGAGTACAAAGTTTTATAATCGCTTATAATGTTTTTGTTTGGAAAATTCTTCCAAATGCCTGTTAAAAAGAGATATGTATCTCACCTTAAAAGCGATTGGCGCATGCACGAATTAATTTGCTCATTTTATGTTTTAACTCTTCAGAGAATCGACAGTAGATTATCTAAACAATGTAACTTTACCGATTATAAATTTTATCAGTTAATATTTCATGACCCTTTTATAAAGGTAAATGAAAGATGTTCTAACAAATAAATCGATGTCGACAAAAATCATCATCCCATATAATAAATACTAAACTGGCTACTTTTTGAAAATTATACACAGCCAAAACAGCAAGAGGAGAATGATAAAGGTACATGCAATTTATGTTCGACATATAATTCTTCAAAAATGAAACCAATTTAATAAACACTAATTGTTGATATCTATTATACACAGATACGAAAAATTATCATGAATCGGCTAATAAAGTCAAGAATGTAGCCAAATTTTACAATGTTACTTGTGTGCGATGAATAGTTAATAACACATATAACCATTAATAAAAGTACATGTTACTTGCAATCGACATCTTATAAACACTTACGTTTTAATAACTTACCACACACATAATACATTTTATACAAAAAATTAAAATATTACTTACTATAACATTAATCAAAGACATAATTTTTAACATTAATCAAAGACATAACTTTAAAAAGAATGACTAATAAGCATGATGTTAATAGTTGTTTTGAATGATATAAAAAGTAAGCACAACCCATATTTACAAGGGTGTTCAAATATGAATGCAATTGGGTCAATTTTCAGAAGTGCTTAACAAACATTGCAAAAATAATTATCTCAATCCTTCAAAATGCTCACCACCATGTGATATACAAACGTTTGGTCGTTTAATCCAATTTTAAAATGCATTTTTATAGTCTTTTCGAGGTATACTTTTCAGGCACTGGAAAATAGCCGAACCGATATTCTTTCGCATTTGATATTTTCTTCTAGCAAGGTGTTTTTTGAGTCTCAGAAATAGGAAAAAGTAACAAGGGCAAGATGTGGTGAATAAGGTGGGTGAGGAAGCTCGACAAAATTATTTTTTGGTTCCAGGCATTCTCGTACAATGGCCGCTTTGTGTGACGAAGCATTTATATGCATCATGCTACAACATGACACCACGGAGACATGTTGGTGGTCGACGGTTTTTTAAATATTTCTTTGATTTATGAAGGACTTGGAATTTACAGATTTAACCTTTGGTACAGCAATTGGAATTGCGGGACCTTGATTGGTAAAGAAAATTACATACATTACATTTTTGACGCTCATGGTGTTTTAACTATGCAAAGTCTTCGACTTCCTTTCGTTGGCCATATTTTGTTATTCATCTTTCGCTTGGGCTCATAAAAGTGAACCCACGTCTCATCGCCAGTCATTAATTTGCGAAAGATCGATTGTTGTATATAGGGAACTATTTCAACAAATGTCTCGAAATTCTTAACCGACCAAGTTTTTGTAAGGATATGGATTATTAATCTCTCACTATTCTTCTCATTTTTAAATCACGTCTGAGAATTACACGAGCTCTACAGAGATACCAACGCATTTAGCTACATTTTTACATAGGTTAAAAAATTTGCATCATTAGCATTCAAATCCTTTACTTGTTCAATCATTTTTGACATAGTTGCAGTTTTCGGAAGGCGTGCATGAGTTGCATCTTTAACTGAATCTACATCACTCTTAAGACTGAACTAATTGACACATGTATTGTATCAATTGAGAGCTGACACAACCATCAATTCGATACATATACATAGTTTATGCAAAACTTGAGTGAAAGCGAGATATTGACATAGTTGCATTATGTTTGAATACCCCTCGTATATTCTTTACAAATCGTGACCCTTAACTTGCCGAAATCCGAAGTGATTAGCTTTTGCCATCAGTAAAACCCAGGTCAGTATGCACATTTGTGCAGTCTGACTAGTTGTTATTTGGTTCGCCAGTGAGTTCCAGAAATAGAAGTCAGACAATTTAATGTAAAGGTGTTTAGGATTAAGTTCCAAGAGTTTCCTTACGAGGTTTATACTACGTATGACTCTAATCATTATCTTTTTTAAGTTCATTAAATGGACTTATTAACTCATGTTTTGAGGTTTTATATTCAAAATTTCCTAAGCAACAAGTGATCGAGCGACTGAATTTTAAATAACATATTCTTTAAACCTCACGTGACTGATTTTACGGAAGTCCTCAACAAAATTCCACAATAATATTAATCTTAATGGGACGGAGTTTAGCTATTTTACTATATAAACCATTGTTTATTGGTCCTCTGGGAATACATTTTCTTTCAGAAAAAAAATGAAAGAAAAAAGGAATATCTCCGAAAGGCTAGCTGTTTTCTTTTCAGGAAGATATATATATAATGTGGAACTATGCAAATTGTACCTGGCCCAGGAGCTTGCTTGCTTTCTATATCATCTATCAAATCAAATGAAAACTATTTCCTATATGTTTACATATCTTTTTCAAGAAAGTTAACAGGCATTACATAACAAATTCTTTATACATATGGAATTAGATTTGAAGACAATTAAAAGATATACTAATCTAAATGAGAAATATAACATTGAACATTCAAACAATTATTGCATGAAAATAAGAGTTTCAGATATTTAAAAAAAAACTTAATAAAATGTATCATTTCTAAATGACAAATCTACATGAATGAAAAAAAAAGAAAAGATATTTCTATCATTTTAAATACTGTACAAAAGATCTGTAAACGCCAGAGCACTACTTTATCGGTGTTGTTTAACTTGTGACATTACACTTTTCCTGAAGCAAAAGTTTGGAAACAAGGCTGCGCAAAATAACACCATATTGATAAATATCTTCCGACTTAGTTACTTGACTAAATGATACAACGGGTTCCCGTCTGAGGTGAATCTCGCCGACAAGCTGAAAAAGAAACCAAATTTGAATTCATTCTGAATAAATAATGTACGTTAAGAAACATCTCAGTAACCATATATTTGCATCCTTCAGAAAACGCAATGATGAAACGTTTTGTTTCCAACTTCAACAACACTTTACTAAACATTTGTCCTTTCTAATGTATGAAAAAGAGATTGATTCCTTAAAGAACGCCTAAACAAAAATGATGATAAAAATCATTGCAGGCCGGCTTGATTGAGTTCGTTAATGAATGACAGTCGTAAATGCAAGCTGCTGTCTTCGCCGCCCAAAAGCACTGTCACAGAGAGTAGCGTAGCTTTGGGTATTTAGAATGATGTCTTATGAGGTTTATGCAAATTGTTACAGGATTGGTCAACGCATATCTTGAAAAGATAGCTTATTACTTATTTGCTTACAAGTCCGCTGTAACCTTGATTAAGACTATACCTACTTGTAATGCAATTGTACAATTTTAGACCATGTGTGTGCTTATTGTTTAGCGTATGATTTTGCATTTAAAACAGTTTATCAATTTGAGATATGTTCGGATGTTAAAATGAAAGCTTCTTAAATGTGAACGGTTTAAATTGTGAGGGATGGCTATTCAATCGATATACAAAGCGAGTAAATAATTGCAAATGGGTAAACGTAAGACTCTTATAAACTCACCTTTCCATTCTCCACATTTGTATACGCTGTGTTATGTAGCTTGGGGACTCTAAGCGAATTGACATGAAGCAAACACAAACACTTGATCAATTCATATGCGATCTTGCAGACGACTTCATTTGTGACGGCAGCATCTGAATGTATGACGTCATCAAGACAGATAAAGGCCTGGTGAAAGTTTTCATTTGGAGCCATGTAGTATCGAAACAGCCGGCGTAGGTTCTGTTTGTGTTTTTGCGCTACAAGAAAAAGTTGATATTAAAAAAGTCCATTACAAAATTCAATTGTACTGTATATATGTGCCTCCTGTTGAAATTTTGAGAAAAAATATGCATTTAGTATGTTTTCTCTTTATGCTTGCTTGAGTTATTTTGTGATATGAAATATACTTTAAAAATATACAACATACATTTGCGACATGTTGAAATTTTGAGAAAAATTATGCATTTAGTATGTTTTCTCTTAATGCTAGCTTGAGTTATTATGTGATATGAAATATACTTTAAAAATATACAACATACATTTCATTTCATTGATCGCAACGCGTAAAGTCCTTCAACAATTGATTTGCATACATAAAACATATTGGTCAATGTCAGAAAATATAATAAAGAATGACTTTAAAAAATATATAAAAATAATTATAAAGATTAAAACCTACTATCTTCAGTTTTAAACTGATAGTTGAGTAATGTCACTGAGGCTAATGCGTCAAGTGTTAAGATATCGTATACATATACCTTTCTAACATACATTAAAATATCCGTATAGTTCACTTCAAAATCAGAAAAGAACAGACAAAACGTCATTGATTATTCAAATGTCTCAGACCAATATTACCGAACAATAACGGTCAAATATATCAGAAAATATGTCAGACAACAACATATCCTTCAATATCAACTGATTAGTTTGGGCAACAAGTAATACAATAAATGTCATCTACAAATGTAAACTATTGTTTGAGGTGAATCGTCGAACTAACAAAGGTAACATGGGTAAGGCGGTGCCAAGACAATTTTAAATCCTGCCCAAAAATATGAAAATTCCTATATAAAATACTTACACATAAACGTTTCCTGGACACTTCTACTGTTTTCGTCATTTTTAGATCTTTGTTTCTATAAAACAATAAATAATAGAAACAGAATAATCAACATCTTTTATCTTATTTTCTAAGGGTTACAAATCCGGGGTATTAGCAAAAGATATAAATTTTTAGCCAAAAATCAGTCAATGTAAGGCAGCCAATGAGAATCTTAATGAATAATATCCTGAAACAACATAGAAAAGGATGTTATATCAGTTAAGGGCCTTTCTTTTGTGCCGACACTCTGTGCTAGGGGCCCAGACACACTTCTCTCGTTATCCCTGCCTACATTGTACATTGCAGAGCCATCCCCTCGGATTTCGTCTGGACATTGGCAGGTGATTCGTAGGTTGCAAAGTTCTGAGCTTATCTCCGCATCATCGAAGGAGACCTACCATATTTTTACAGAATGCACAACATCAACGCTCGGATCATAAACAGTCAATGTGTCCTTGGTGATAAATCAACCAAGACAACTTGCAATTGAATTGGGAAATCAATACGTACAGCATATGCCTATGATTCAAAGTACTTCTCAGTTTGTATCAAATAAGAAAAAATCACTATTTTCTATTATTTAACCATACAAGTTTCTATAAGAGGATAGATACACATTTTGTGGCTATTTATGCAAATAACATCTGCAGAAGCACGAAGATGCATTCATAGCCAGAGTCCGCAAAGCGAAGGATTTAATCAGTCGAGGGCAAATGCTTAAAAAAATGGTGTATTAGCGCTTATTTTGCAAACAAATATACGTCTGGTTATATGTTATTCCAGTTTTTGCTTTTTCTTTGTTGTTGCTTTGCTGGTATGATGCCATTCGGCAATTAAGTTTTTATAAAGCTCCAAATCGTCGGGATTTCTTACTTTGATAAGTATTGGGGGAGGAAAGTATTTAGCGATGTAAGATTGTATTTACTTTATAACTCTTCATTGAAAACTTACGTAAACTTCGTGTAAACAGAAAGTAGCGTGCGAACGTATCTATAATTTTTCTATTCGTGTTTATTCAGCAAAATACATCAACAAAAAAAAAAATCTGAGAAATCACTTACGCAGATAAAGGTTTTTGTAAATGATTCATGTTGTCAGAAGTTTCCGTGAAAATCCCACTTGAATAGTGATCGTATAGAATTTTTGCTTAAAAGTTTATCAAGAGACTAAACAATGATAGATGGAGCTGAAGTCATTTCGCGAGCAGGTATTTTGCCATATCTCGCTCAGTTACCGTTTACGTTTTAAATGTATAAAAAAGACGTAAGAACAAAATATATATCGTAATTTTATCACAAATATTCAATGTATTGCATGATAATCAGGCACTTGTTAATGCATCTTCTGGCACGCAAAATGCACCTGAGTTTTTTTGTCTGCTATTAAATTAGTAAATAATTAATATTGACAGTTATGCCAAAATGATATGGTATACATGTAAATGAAGTCATATATTTAATAGGTAACTGTTTCTTAAATATAATTTTACTGTAGCACATAAAAATACAATCGGTGTCACTGGGCCTTGGCTTAGTGTCGAATGTATACAAAGAATGATTTCTGACTTTCTTCCGTATCTCTAGAAATCTTTACCACTGAAATTATTATGAAACTGACCCGTTTTCCTAGTATTGAAGTCAATGTGTACAGGAATGGGTTGATTGCAGAATTCACGGGTAATATAAATACCGCTGTCCATGCATACACATCTCCCGGAATCACGTGACCAGTAAGAGCCATAAGTGCTGTTGAAATACAATATTTACGATTTCCAAAAGCATTTAAAATTTCAATTTAGAGCAATAATTAAACAAATGTGGTTTCAATCAGATCCTAACAAACGATTTTAATCAGTATATTGACAAACATGTCGAGTTCATTAAGTACAGAAATTCATGTTTTTATATTACTCTTATGCACGTTCTACAGAAATAACAAGAAGAACAACAAAATTATTATGATTCATTAATCAAGCTGTATAACATGTTTTGTCATGAAATCTATATGAAGGTCAATTAAAATTCTATACACTGGTAAGACAAACGCAACTTAAAAAGCCAATCTCTGATTGCTTAGTTAAACAAATTTTCAACAACAGAAATTTATAAATAGAAGTCATCTGATATCTAGAAATAAGAAATGAAAAAGGGATGTCAACTCACCCATGCATCCAATCGGGAACCAGCACAAAAAATCGGTTGAAACAACAAATAACAGATTCCTTGCAACAGCTAATTCTGCACTGCGGACTCTGGATTTCCTTTTCATTGATTTTCTTATCTTCCCAGACACACTCTTAATTTCAATATAAATTAACAACTGACCGACAGCTATTAAAATAAAAGTGATAAAATTAAGACCAAGGAAAATAACAATTGAATACATCCATCCAGGAGGCCTGTCACGAGTAAGTGGCAATGCAATACAAACTCCTGATTTTGTATAGAACCGGCCTTGAAAATAGCTTGTATGGACCAACGGATACAAAGCAATGAATGCCGAAATAACCCAAGAAATAATTGAACATATGGTTGCCTTTTTAGGCGTTATACGAAAACTGCTGAATGGATACTTTATGATAATAAACCGGTCTAGCGTGATGAAGCAGAGAAAGAAAACACCAGCCTCCGATGAAATGGTTGACAAAACACCAGATAAAGTACACCAAGAACTTGCTCTCCAACTCTCGTCCATGAAAATATACCTGAAGAAAAAGAATACGATATGCCAGTGAAAACGCTGTACTGTATATAGGATTATCATAGACGTTATTGCTCTGGATAATTCAATAGAAATATTCGTAATGTTTCTGGAACCTAAAAGATAAATCCAGTCCTCGGGTTCACAAGAATCAGGATCCAAACATGGTCATTTAATTTTTCATTGATCATATAAGCAAAAAAACCGGCAAACGCGCATATCTTGTACATGATTTTGTTTTAATTTCATTTACCTGCCATTTCAAGTCATCTCTTTGTGAAGTAAATGAATCTTAAAAATGCAGAATTTTGAGTTTTGTATTTAAATCAAAAGATATTTTTACAAAAATCATCTTTTAATTATCAAGTATGACACGATCCTTAATGGGAGATGTAAGAAAATATTCCTAATCGCCTCCATATTTTTATGCTCACCCTTGGGTACAGCTCTATAAATGTTTTTTTTCTGCTAATCACTTTCTTTGTGATAATATTCAACAAATTTAAATACATTCTTTGCGGACGTCTATATATATTTCTGTGTTTGGTGTATAGGGGCATGGTCCTTTTGCCATACGCTGATGCACATGCGCGCGAAAATACTCATTCTGGTCGATTTACATAGCATCTAAACGTTTTCTTAAAGGTCAAAACTAACATAAAAATCGCGTATACCATGACATTCTTCACTTAAACTAGCAGTTACTATGCAAAATATATTACAAACATTTCACCATTAAAGGCCAGTTATAACGTCATAAAATGTTAAAATATGATGAACAAGATCGACAAGGAAAGGCGGCGTTCAATGAACGCAGCCCCCACCCGACCCAGCAACAAGCGCCATCGGTAAGGAGCCCAGGAGGACCCCAAAGAAAAATAGGACAGGGCATAAGGTAGAGCACGGGCAGGCAAATAATTAGCAACTGATTAGGAACTAAAAGAAAACAAATAAATGAATAGATATTAGGCCCATAAAGTCAAAAGGCACAGGGGAAGGGGACACGAGATACGGGGAAGGGGAATAAATAAAATAAATAAAAAATAGGGACAAAGGGGAAGATACTTACCGTAGACGAGAAACAACAAGAGAAACAAGCAAATGTGTCACCAAAACAGTATAAAACAACATAGACATACATCTGAGGAACACAGAGGGGCGCCGCCTTGGAACGGTCAGTAGCATAATAATGACTACTAATAAGACATGCAAACTATGAAAAGTCAATACACTTATCTGAACAGAAAGGACAGAAAACATACCTTTTCCTGTACAACGTGTCTGCAGTAGCTATTATTATCAAATAAACACCCATCAAGAAGTCGGCAACGGCCAGATTAGAAACAAATATTCCATATCCTATTTTGAACTTTGATCTGTCATACACAAAACGGTATATGATTGATATAAAATTGCCAATCAGAGCGCATATTCCCATAATCCAAACCATAATTTGTAATGCTGTTATTCTCATAAGGTCATCACACGATGAAAACTCATCTTTCCCTGGAGTGCACTGACTCTCGGGTAAGTAATTCGGCCGAATGCAGCAAAACTTGTAGGCTGGTGTCCGCAGCACTTCTAATTGAGACAACCCCGTGAATAACTTCTTATCAAACGTTGTTACAATGCTGCTTTCAAAATCAAGATATCTAGCAGTCAATTCACCAAAGGCAAAGTTGTCAACCTGGTTTATACTATTGTTTGAAAATGTCAATGTTGTGAGTTTAAGACCATGGAATGCATAGAAGAAGATGTGATTGATGGTTGATCCTGTTACTACTAGTGTCCTAATGCTAACAAGGCCTTGAAAAGCTCGAGTTTCTATCATTGCAATGTTAGTGTTTCCATTCAGTTTCAAAACCTTTAGTCTTTTCAAACCCAGAAAGGCCGACGTTCGAATGACCGATATATGATTTAAGCTTAAATCAAGAGATAGCAAATTATTCAAATGCCGAAAGTTATCTTGAAATATATCTTGTATTCCGCACATTGAAAGGTTTAATGCTACTAAATAAGGTAAGCCTCTAAACGGATACTGAATTAAACCATTGAAAATCATAGTATTTCCGCTGGCATCTAATAGTCGAGTGCGTTTGTTTAACAAACTTAGTGAGGTATTTGCTGATCTACACTCAGCCATGAATCCGACACAATTGCAGCTCTCAGGACATCTGAAGTCACACATTTTCTCGTCATCATGATTGATACACTGAACTTTTCCGTCACACATTTGGTCCATTGAAATGCATTTTGTACTTGCCATACATTTAAAATCATTCGGGCAAAACATTGATGCACGTTCTGGAATGTAAAATGTAGGTATATTTTAAATGAAAGATATATGTTACTACGGATCTAATGACACATTGAGTAGCTACCGGAATAACTAATTTACAATAATTAATATACGTTACATTAAAACATGAAAAGATTTCCTTTTATAAGGAGGGATCTCTGCTCTAGCAAAAAATGACAAGAAGGCAGTGCACTACATTTAAAACAATTTCAGACGACTTTTGATTTCTTTTTCTTCATTGTTTCATTGCGTTTATCAAGTATTCTAGCACAACATCTCCTAATTATATGATATATCTCAGGACATTGTCTTTAACATGAAGGGCCCGTTTGTTAGAATTTATTTTATTTCAAATTCTAAAATGAAAACACATATTTTGAAAATTAAAATTTAAAACTTATCATATTTGATAAGAGGATAGAGTGATATATTACACTCGGCTACCTGGGTATGTAAAATAAACTTAACACTCACTTTTACATATCATCGGAAAGAATGATGATCCTATCGAGGTAAGATGCGACCAATGCTTTACTGACACTTCTATAACGTGTGCAAACGGACCAAGTTTTGAAGCAGAAATATTCAGATTTTCGACCACTCTGTACACATGGAAGTCCGGTGATGACCTAATATTCTTGAACATCATTTCGGCAACAAGTTTCGACACCTCGGATTTTTGAAGAAAGACCAACGCCCTTGAATTATTCTTCGAAAACTGAACGCTGTTTATGAAGTTGGAAGCTAGAACAGTATAACGGCACATGTATTCACGATTGATAATGTCATATGCATTAACCTCCGTGTCTGATATATCAAGAAATAAATGCTCGTATTCAACTTTTGTCGGATCTTTTCTGACTTTATAACGCAATACTCTGAAAATTGAATGTCGATCAGAGAACTGTTTAGCAACATTTTTCAGATATGTTTCGTCGAAGTCTTCATTTTCTGTCATTATTACAATTTCATTCCCTTCCTGAAAGCATCCTGCGGACAAGAACAAAAAGAAGAATTGGAGTACTCGCAGCATGATTATTATAATAATACTTATTTGCAAAGTGTTTATTGAGAACATTCATTGAAAAAAAATGATTAAATAATTACATTAATATAATATCGTTATAATAAATAGAGGATATTCAACTTTTTCTATAAATACAGGATTTATTTTCATCGTGGTATGTGAATAAATATTTCATATATTTCAATATGAAAATATTCATAACAAAAGATGAAAATTAATTCTGTATTTTAAAAAAAACCCTGAATATTCTGTTTATTATATACATTTTCCTCTTTTTGCAGTACAATTTGAAAGACTTTTTCTTAAATTTTGTGTACTGACAGAATTTTAAAGAAAGGAGTCCGGCAAGACACCAGTGAAAATACGGAAAATATGTTTCACTGCAGTGAAAAATATTTTTTTTTAAATGAAAATACGAAAAATGAAAATACGCATTTTATTTCATTAATATTTCTTAATGTTTCATTTCTAAGTATGCATATATTAAAGATTTAAATTCTTTGTGTTTGTTGTTAATACCACAGCCAATTTCATCCTCGCCTCCTGGACATTGCTTTTCACCGTCACACACGTATTCTAATGGGAGACAAAAACTATTCGGACATTTTACGGTATTCGGTGGACAAATGAAGTCATCTGAAATGTTAATTAAACTTCTTTGAATATATACATATAATTATATACATATGAATAATTTCTTAAATAAATGCATAAATAAGAGATATGTATAAATAACAAAAGACCAGTGGTGGCATTTCAACATCTTGATTTCTCGGGTTCACGAACTCACGATTTAAACTTCATGAATATAGATTTCAAACTACATGAATTCAAAATTTCAACTTCGTGAATTCACAACACCTTTATTATTTAGTGAATTTATTATTTAAACTTAAAATTTAATTCATAAAGTTGAAATCCTGAACCCGTGAAGATGAAATCACGGGTCTTTCGTATTAATAATAGGTTTTCCAAATTTCATGAAAATGAAAAACAAAACACTATAAGAATAAGAACGCTATACGTAAAATAGAATATTTATTTACTTACGACAATTCTGAAGATGGACTCCCGTGTTACAGCCTAACATAAATCCTGCTGGATCTCGTTTATATAAACATTTTATAGATTTATCAAACGATTTAGAGCCTCTGTTACAACCAACTTCACTGGCACTTATATCTCTTGCATCTGTTTAAAAAACAAAAAAAAGCAAAACTTTTTGTGTCTTTTTTATGTTTATATGTATATAAAAATCTCAAACGTATACCCATTTAAAACTACCATATGTGCATGCAGTATAGCTTAATCGACTCATTAAAAAATACACTCGTGCTCCTCCATGTACCTAAAACGGGTCAGGTGCTCCTCTTTGCCTCAAAATAAATCGCATACCAACAATCTGTGTGCGGAATGACAAAAATGATCTAAGGGTATAAAGTGAGTAAACAGGTAAAAGTAAAAATAAGTTAACACATAATTCCTTTAAAATTCAAATTTTACCTTGCATGAACGATAAATTACTCACGTGGCCCAAGGTTTTCTTTTGTATAGATCAAGTGAGGTTTAATTGATAAAAAGAGAGACACAGTCTTTTTATATATAAGGTAGATTATATTTTATCCTAAACATTATCTAATATCGATGAAAATATCAGCATAATGTAAACTTACCGGATGAACAAACAGCTGAGCCTATCTTAATTTCAATAAAACTCTCAACATCTCTATAAATTGTGATACTGCGCCTTTTGTGAACCTCGTGATATTGAAAGAGAATTTCACTTTCTGACACATTGGATGTAAAATTATCACAGTAATTAATGGTCCTGAAATTTATATATAATTCAAATATTTTTAAAATGATATTATGCCCATCAAAGCATATATTATAGTAGGTGAAAAGTTGAAAGTCAAAATAATTGGTTACTTTACCATATATTCTTTCAATTCAAGACTTATCAATTTCAATTCTAGATTTATATTGATCGAATCTTAACAATTTTCCAATATCAACTTTTTGTCAATCCCCATTATTAAAGTCAATCTTTTCCAATTTATAGTCAGTTTAGCCAATATTGTCAATGAAAACATGAACATAATGTCTATCTAACATCAAAAACTACAAGAAAAACAAAAAACAAAACTGCTGAAGAAAATGAACAATAGCATTAAAGTAGAAAATCCCTAAAAGAACTTAAAAGTCGATCCTGCAAATCGAGCTACTCTTTGCGTTTATAGAAAATGATATAATTGTATGATTATACAGATCTTGATAATTGCTGTTATAGATGGTTTCAATGTTGTTGTTTTTAAAAAAAAAACATAAATAAAACATTTCTTGGCCAAAATACATTTAACTGCATTTCTGACAACATATAAGCTGCCCTGACACTGTGACAGTTCATACGACGACTTAGTATCTTTACTTGTAGGAGGTCTCAGACACCCCTCTGCATTATTTTGAGGCACCTTAGGAACAGCACCTTGAATAAGAAACTACAATTATATTACACATATAATATAAAATAAAATGATAACACAAGGCTATAATAATGCAGAGACTTACGGCAGGCTATCTAGTTGAAAAGGCTTGACAGTCATAACAATACATCGGCATTGGTGGCTTAAAGTCCCTTCCTGTTCCTCATCACGTGCTAATACAACAGCTTCCTGGGTCGGTGAACATTTTTGCGTGATCTAAAATTAATTACCAGTGAAAGTCTATGTATAATGAGTTAAACAAATCATTCGGATTTTTTTCATGACACATTATGTCATAGATTTCAAAAAGGTTTATGGCAGTTTTCTTTTAAGTCGTTTTCTTCTAAGTCTTTGTTTGTCGTTTGCCGTTGTCAACAATGTCTTTAAATGAGCTAAACAGAGAAAGAATCAGCAATTTTTTCTTTATCTGTAGAAAATAGACATTTTTGAGTAAATATTATATTTATTTCAATATCAATTCAGAACATGTGTTTTAATTATTACAACATTTGTTTGTTGTATTTAGTATCTTTATCTCGTGTTAATCTTGGTCTCATTTCAGGGTTAAATTGCTAAGCATAAATACAAAAAGCATTGATAGAAATATATTTTGAAATATAACTTTGAAAGTACTCTTTAGAAGTCATATTTATTAAGTTAAAACTTTTCAAATTGTTTGGAAATCGGATGAAAATAGATGTACTTTAGTTAACGAAATTGTAAGAGACTTCAGGGTCAGCATGGACGTGTTGCTGTTTGAGTTTTTTATCCAAAAGGAACGTGTAGTAACAGTAAACAGATGGAATATAAACACGCACTGTTTTGACTGGCTGATTTACTTTTTATTTTATAATAATTGTATGAAAGTAGTTAAGCGAAGATGCATGGTTTACAAAAAATAATAAATTGATATCATGCTCATTTTTGTCTCTGTCAAGTTGTGATGGATTAGTAATATATTACAAAAGATTGACTTTTATCAGGGTGATTTGCCAATGACTGGTTATAAAGGAAAATGTTAAGGATAGAATACAAAACTACAAATTTTAAAACTACCTTAATTGTGAAGACTCTTTTAAAAATTGAACGCTAATGATATATTCTTAACAATATTTGAAGGAACGCCCATAGATAACGTGGATTATTGATTGTATTTTTACAATTATATCATGTTTTTAATATGCGCAGCCGCCACCCCTTTTGGAAGAACATAATGTCAAGGTAATTTACCGATGGGTGTTGAAGTTTTGCTTTCAAACAATTCTACAAGAATATCATTCTCATTTAAGGTAGACCATGGGTTATGCATTACCTTCACTTTGACGCTAGAATCACTTTCCAAATACATTGAAATTGAGAGGCGTGGGTTTAAACCCCAGAAGGGCATTTTTGTTTTTCTTTCTTTTTTCTTTTAACATTATTTATGTATCTCTCTGATCCCTTATGGAAGCAAAAAGTGTTTGATTTAAATTATTTAATTTTTGTAGGGATTTATTTTCTAAATAATGCCAAAATTTATAGCAAATATGATACCAGATATATTTAAAGTTCAATAAAATAAAAAACTACACGGTAAAGGTATTTTATATTTCGCATGATCAACCAATATACCTTAAAGAAAATTTAGACAAACTTTGAAAACAGCCCCTCATTGTGGTAAATTTTAGGGATATTTTGAATAAGGGTTTATACAGGGAAATCTTCAAATTAGTGTTTAAAGTGGGTGGGGTAGGGTAACATTTTATACATACTAAGAACATTTTGTTTAGAAACAATTTTTGCTTGTGTAAGTGTTACCTGAATGTTATAAATAAATATTTTCCCTTACAATGAGCAATAGGAAATCATTTTTCATAATGATGATATTATAGATTATTTAGAGTTTCCTTATTTCTGAAAATAAGCCCTTCTTATGGCACAGCCTTAGTTTAGAAATATATATCCATAACTCATAAACCACACGGTAAATTTTATTTGAATTTTGAATACAGGTGACCTTGAAGACATATAACTGTCCTATGTTGTCAATTTTACAGTTCCTTATAGTGCTCATTACCCATGGTCTACCTTAATGTTTAGAACTAAACGAATGATTTATATCATTGATGAACATGAATAAATGAATCATAAAAAGCCTAGACGTGTTATTGAGATGAAGAAATGGCGATATTTGGAAGTAACCTTAGAGTATTGAAAACTCCTCTTTTAGTATGACATTTCACGTTCTTTGTCTTTTGTCTTATTGTTTTTTGTTTTGTTTTTATTTATTTATTCCTAATGTAAATGCTATAAATTAGAAATATATGACTTTATTGGAAAAATGTATGTATGAAATGAAAAAATACTTTTTCAGGGAAATTAAGATGGCTAATGGTGGCGTGATTTGTTATGATTCTAGTTCGAAACGAAACAAGTAACGATTTCTAAGTTTTAACAAAGGTCTTACACTGAAATACTTTTACTGTTCGTATAAGTTATCATTTTTGTAGGTATAAGTTATGATTTTATTATAATATCAATAATGATATATTGCAACCATTTTACAACTTTTTACAAGCTAATATGCTTTAATATGTTACGTGACTACAAAGTACCAGTTAACATTATGTTTAATCTCTTTGACGCTTATGTTTTATCAATTTTAAATTATGGCTGTGAAGTATGGGGGTTTATGAATGCAGAAGTTTTGGAACGAGTACATAAAAAATTTTGTAGGTTTATTTTAAATGTTAAACAGTCGACAAATACTTTGGCATTATATGCAGAATTGGGGAGATTTCCTCTTTACATTGAAAGGCATATTCGTATGGTTAAATATTTCCTTAAGTTAAATACAAGTAAAAAAGATAATTGTATATTGAGAACAATATTGTGTACACAGATATATGATGTTGATGTGGTAAATTGTTCAACAAACTGGGCTTCAAAAGTTAAAAACATTCTTCAGTCAGCAGGATTTAATGAAGTCTGGTTATATCCCGATTCTATTAATATAAAACTATTTGTACCTATTTTTAGGAATAGATTACGGGATATTTATATAAGTTGTTGGAATGATGGTATTCAATCTTCATCATTGTTAGATGTATATAGGGAATATAAGATTACATTTGAACAATCGTTATATATAAAATATATTGAAAATGTAAAATATAGAAATGTTTTAGCAAAAATAAGACTCTCCTCACACAAACTTAATATCGAGTTAGGAAGACATAATAATGTACCAAGGAATGAACGAAAGTGCACTTTATGTTATATGAATGATATAGAAGATGAATTTCACTTTATCCTTAAATGTCCGATATATTCTGAGTTAAGAAAGCAATATATTCCAAGATACTATTATTGCAACACAAGTATGTTTAAATTCATTTCATTAATGCAAACTGGTCGCAAGAAAGAATTGAAAAATTTAGCTATATTCTGTGATAAAGCTTTTAAATTGAGGGATAGTTTGTTATAATATACTGACATGTAAGCTTTACTCTCTTTCTCTGTTTTTTTCGGTTGTTTAAAAAAAAAATGAAAAAAGTATCATTGTAACTGTTAAATGCGCATTGTATATCCATCGTGTAGATTTGTAAAGTTATATGTGAATATGAAATTGTACATATATACATATATTTTTATTTTATTTATTTATTAATATTTGTATCTTCTGAAATTAACTATATCTGTTTTTCAACACATAACCAAATATAAATACCATGATAAAATGTTTTGACAAAACTAATCCTTATAATTAAGTCAAGTGTTAGTTGTTTTGGGTATTGGTATGTTTTGTGTGGGTTTTTCTTTTCTTTATATATATAAAAAAAACGTACAAAATCAGTAAATGTATTCATTTTTCATATAGAAATGAATTCTATTAATATTGATCATGAATTATTAAGGGGAAGTAAATGTTAAAATACTGGTTACGTAAAGTTACCTAAGTTATCCCCCTTCATTTGTCACAGTTTGCTTTTTTGTATTCACATAAAAGAAAATGTATTGTAGCTTAAATTGATAATGTTTGGTAAAGATAGGCCAATTCTTGTGTATTATATACATGTATTCATATGTTTTTTAAGTAATTTCGTATCTCAAATTAAACATTCTCACATCACATAAACCATTATTTTGTAATTATATATATTCATGTCATGTGTCATTTATGTATTATATGTTGTATTTGTATATTTAATATGGTGATGAGCTTTTTATGCTTAAACCAAGTAATAAAGTTTCTGTTCTGTTCTGTTCTGTTCTGTTTAATATGGTGTTTATGGAAACGCTATTTAAACATTCGTTGTCTTATGTCTTTTAAGATCAGATGTATTAATAATGATTAAACTTTTACAAGCATTACTTAACATAGTAATTATGGAAACACCTTTTATCAAATACAATGATCTCAATCTAATATATGTTTGCAATTATTTCCTTACTTACATTTTGTTGACAGGTGTACTGTCTGTCTTTCAGTATCTTTAAAATGCCCTCTTCGAGTTTTCCAGTTGAGTCATTTTTATAGGAGTATATCAACAATCCGTCAAGTCTAGAAAATACAACATTTGCTTTATATCTAGCATTCAAAAAGGTGACGTATGATATG